GGATCCAAAATGCCTCCAACGCCAAAGCCGGGGGTTGGCGGTAGCCAAAAGGTCGCTGGAGGGCTTCGAAATGGTTGTCGACCGGGGCTTCGAGCTTCACTCCCGTGGATATTAATTGGTGCAGGGCCGCATCGTCCAACAGAGAGATCATGTAGGCGTTGGCGGTTTCCGAACTCAGACCTCGAAGAAAACTCCGGGCACGACACCCCCATAAGAGGTAGTCATCCCCAGGATGGAAAGGGTTGTGCGGTCGAATAGTCGAACGACCGACATCCGCATTCAACTGTATATTTGAGGTGCTGGGTCAAAGATTTGGATCGACAGCCGCCAGAGTGGTAGAAGATCCAGTAGCAGAATCCGACATTTTCACCGATTCTAACTTTACTGCTGTGTTCGGTGTTGAACAAAAGGTGGTTAGGTTCTTTATAGTATTTTTCCCCATAATATCTCACCACTGCCAATAAAACTGTAGCGTGGGCCGACGTGTGAGGAGAATGGACCTGAATAAATCAGACGAGTGGTTAGGCGCAACAACCACAGACAGACGATCAGAACAAACGGGAGCCAAGGCACGGCAAAAAGACGAGACTCGCTGTAGACACGTTTATTAATAATCGGCTGTTTTTAAGTCGCGCGCTTTAGTCACGCGGTACAACAAAAGACGGGCCCTCAGGGATTGGGTCGGTCCCGTCGGCCAGGGTGTACACGGTTGAGCTCCCTCAGAGATAAAGGAAGGTATGGACGTAAAGAATGAACATACTGAATAAAATATCGTTACACATGACAGCAACCGGACAACCGCGAAATCGTGACCTTTAATATGTTCCTCTTTATCAATGCGTTAAAACAATGGAGAAGGCTTAGGATCCTTAGTCAGAAATTTTTCACATGCAAGCATCTCAAATTGTCTTAAGTATATACGACGATAGCTTTTAAGTAAAGTCCCCCAGTAAGATGCAGTTTAGACCCTATCACCTGGAACTATCAATAGAGGAATTAATCTTATCAGGGTATCAAGACTTCAAAAGTTCGTGCGTTTCTTTGAAAAGTCTGATGGATATAATCTTCAAGCTAAGTGCTAGAATGCTGATAATAAAGATATATGAAGGTTCAATTGCGCTGCCGCCAAAAACGTTGATAATGACACATTCTGAGTTAAGTAAACCAGATGGCGTGGTTTCCCTGGCTGTGAGAGTACTGAACAAAGTTGTATGACAACACATGAAGCGCAAAGAGCTAGACATTATACTTAAAGATGTTTAAGTAAATAAGAAGTATGACACAGATATAACGATGGTTGGAACGCAAAATATTTTGAGTTCAGTTCACTCGAGGCAAATTTAGAAGCACTGTATTGAATTCCCCATAAACAGTCGAGACAGGTCAAAAATCCTGAACTGATGGCATCAAGTTCATACAAAAGGCATATCAAACACTGCTAGGCAGACGACATATTTCAGTTGTTACCAGAACTTGAAGTTGTACATGCAGCAGCTAGTTGTCACTTGAGTCAAATCACTATTGCAGAGCAAGCTGTACGAGGTCAGTTGTCTTCTAATGCTAATTTAAATGGCCATGATCATGTGTTTGGTTTTCCAGGATGCAATACAAGTCCCTACGCAGAAGATACTACCATGTTAAGGAAACGCATTCTGAAATAGTACCGTAGGATTTTGAGCACTAATAGAAACTTAACGTATGGCGTCAAGACAAAGTCGGTCGTATAGCATCTGGATATGTGGCCCTTTTTGATCCAGGTTTCCCATATGAGCCTCTGCTTTTTTAATAAAGCAACATTCAGCGGTAGGATATTTCCAACCTCAAAAACTCTGTTGAATATTAAGAACAGCCAGGTGCCCAACGTGGCCCCAGTCACACGTATTGGCTGCCCTCACAGGTTCACTCGTGGATTTTTAGTCTAAGAAGTCAGTGTGTACAAGATAGCAGACGTGACCGTGTATTAATTCGCATAGTAGATAATCAAGTATATTAATTCGGAATTTATAAGGGAGACAGACAGAGCTTTTGAAAACCCTACTTACAGATAGATTCTGGCAAATGATGCATATGTTCCAAAACCATATATTCACACTATGTAAATCGTTCTTGTCTACCAAACGTAGCTCCATCAAGTAAAAGATGTTCGAGGCTTCTTTTAAATGTTTCAATGCTTTCAACAAGAACAACGGAGGAAGGAAGTTTGTTCCAGTCTTCAATGACCCGGTTGAAGAATAAGCCGGGAGGCACTTTTAGACTGGCGTGCCGTTTTTTTCAGTTTGTATAGATGACCTCAGCGATTTGTCGTTTCGGCCAGTTCAAAGAAATCAGCCATCTGAACACCCTAATAATATTTCCTCTGTATTGCCTATAATAGAGAGGGAAAAGCTTGAGCCATTCTAATCGAACTTATTATGGTAGACCTCGTATGTTGCTGACTAACTTGGTTGCCCATCTTTAAACATTTTTCCAGCACTGCGTAATCTTGCTTTATGCAGGGGCACCATCCCTGGACACAATATTCTAGCATCGATCGAACAAATGTTCCGAAGACTCGTCCGAAAAGCCCTGCATTACACACGGCGGACCTCGCTCGAAAACGGTAAT